CCGACGCGGGGCTCGATCCCAGGACCCTGAGATCATGACCCGAGCCGAAGGCACACGCTTAACCGACTGAGCCACCCAGGCGCCCCGTCCTGTCTTTATTTAAACACGTCCCACGTGGCTGCTCTGTGTTCTGTCCCCGGGGGTCCACTTGTGGTGCTCCTTTGGTAACTTGCCTTCTTGTGACTTGGTAAGTTTTGTATGTCAGCTCATCAGCCGGTCTTACTCTGCCGGGGGTCCTCCTGGTCTCCCTGGGGGAAGCTTTGCTCCACATTGAGTTTGCTTTTGCTCCTGCTAAGAGCAGAGGGCTCCCCAAACCAGGACCATCTCCCCACCCGCCCCCCTGAGAGTTTTTCCTCACAAAAGATACAAGCTCCCATCTTCCCCATCCCTAGATCCCAAAGGTCACTATCAGCGTGAGGCCAAAGCTCCAGAGGACACTGGCCTTGGGACTCCCCAAGCAAGCAGCCCTCAGGCCAGCTCACTGACTCTCTCCCGCCAACGCCATGGCCTCTGGGTTTCGCCCTCCAGCTCCCTCTGCTGGAACCCAAGCCCCCAGCCCCCGTATTCCCTCTCCCTCCTTTATCTTTCTTCATAGCATGAGGCACCACTAATGATATCATACTGATTTGTTAAATGGCTTATTGGATGCCCCCCCTCCCATGTGGGATCACCTGTGCAGTATCTGGATGGGAGAAGTGCCCCCACAATTACGTGATGCATCAGTGAATGAATGAGGCAGTGCCCGCCCCCCACATGCTCTCAGGCTGACAGGTGAGACAAAGCAGGAGACAGAAAGCCATGGGGGAGGGAGGGCTCGTGGAGCCGAGAGAAGACCCCACCCTAGATGCTGGAGGTCAGGGGCAGCTTCCTAGTCCAGACACAGGAGGTCGGGGAAGGGTACAAAGCGGAGAGCTTAAGGTTGTGTTGTCATCTTTCCACAAATGAGAGGCCTGAGGGACGGTGTTCCAGGCGAAGAGAACAGCTTTTGCCGAGGCCTGGAGGAGAGAAAGAACCTGCCAGAGGAACGTGGTTTAGCGTGGCGGCTGTGAGAAGGATGAGGAAGGAGCGGTGGGCGATGGGCCGGAGCAGGGGCCCTTTCGAGCTCCTGTGGGGAGTCTGGCAGTGAGGAGGGACAGAGCGTGGAAGGGGGTGGGCAGGGAAGGGTGTGATCAGGCTGCAGGGTGGAAATTCCCTCTGGCTTCTGAGGGAAGGGGGGACTAGGAATGGGGAGGCGGGGAGGCCAGGGAAGAGGCTCTGCGGTGCTGGAGGCTGGGCCAAGGTTGATCCCAGGGTAGGGGCGCAGCACAAGGCAGACCCCTCAAGCACCCTATTGGTGACCTGGGCTGGAAAGGGGAGCACTGGGGAGGAGCCTGGCGCTGTCAGCCTGAATGTGAGGGCTTGTTCAATTGACAGAAGGGCTCCCCAGTCAGCACTTATGGGGTTCCTTTGAAGGGTAAAGAGTACACACCCTGGACGCCCACACCGATGCTCCTTTACAGTAGGGTTGTCAGGGGCGTCTGGCTGGCTTCGTTGGTTGAGCGTCTGACTTTGGCTTGTGTCATGATCTCGGGGCTCCCGGATCGAGCCCCACATCGAGCCGCATCAGGCTCTGCACTCAGAGGGAAATCTGCTTGTCCCTCTCCCTTTCCCTCTGGCCCACCCCTGCCCCAGCTCATGCTCTGTCTGTCTGTCTCTCTCTCTCTCTCTAAAATAAATAAAATCTTTTTTAAAAAATAAATAATAGGTTTGCCAGGCAGCAAAAGAAAGGGTTAGAAAAGGGGCACCTGGGTGGCTCAGTAGATTAAGCGTCTGCCTTGGGCCTGATCAGGTCATGATCCTGGGGTCCTGGGATCGAGCTCCCCCTCCTGTCAAGCTCCCTGCTCAGCAGGGAGACTGCTCCCCCCCTTCTCCCTCTGCCCCTCCCCACCCCACCCCCGCTCATGTACATGCTCTCTCTCTCTCAAATAAATAAAATCTTAAAAAAAAAAAAAAGGAAAGGGGGGAAAAAGACAAGTATAGGATGCCCAGTTAAATTTGAACTTCAGATAAACAATGAATAATTTTTTAGTATATGTCTCCCAAATTTAGCATACTGTATTTTAACTGGCAACCCTGCTTTCAATCCCCACCCCATCATATGCACACACTACGCCTTTCTGATACAGCAGCAACTAAACAACACAGAAACCTCTAGTACGTGGCTCCCCTGGCGTCCATTTGTCCTCCTACCCGTTCCATCTTCCCACTGGTCTGCAAGCCCCCCAAGAACTGGGCCCAGTGCCCAGTGCCCAGGCTAGGCCAGGCCAGGACGCTCTGGGAGTGACGAGAGGGCAGGGAGTCCCAGCAGGTCTCTCACACCCCTGTCCGTCCCCCGTACCCATTTCTGGGAAGTGACCCCTGCCTAGAGCCCGGACCCACATGGTGCTCAGGGCCACAAGCCTGGCCCTATTTCCTGGAACTACCAGAACCATCCCTTGTTACTGTGGCCACATCCTCCCTTGGGTGGCCCTGGGCTTGGTAGAGTCTAAGAAGCTGGGCCTGAACCAGTGGGGTGGGCCAAGTCACAGGCAAGGCCCAGCTGGGTCACCACTTCCTGGAGTTGCTCAAGACAGGGGCTGGGACTTCCCATGATCCCCCTGCACCCCATTGGTGTGGGAGCCCCCCCCAAGGCCCAAGGAGCCTGGTACCGCTCAGGACAGGGCTTGACCAGGGCAGGGGGGCTTGGATGGGGACTCTCATCACCCTGAAAAAGGTGGGGGACACTCTGTCTGGAGTCAGAGCAGAGGCCACTCTAGGGAAAGTGGGAGAGGAGGTGACAGAGCTGAGGGACAGCAGGCTGTGCCTAGCGAGGAGCTGAGTAGACCCGGGCCTGGAGTTTAGATGGCTTGCCCCCTCAGTCGACTCTGTTAATAATAATAGCAAAAATACAAATGATAACAATAATAATTATTTATTGAGCACTTTCTACTTGCTAAGCCTCTTTCTAAGGATTCTTTTTTTCATCTTCAAAATAGGCACCATGACTGCCCCTATTTTACAGATGGGAAGACTAAGGCACAGAGAGCTTGAGTGGCTTGGCCAGTCATATAGCTAGCAAGTGGCAAGGCCATCTGGGCCCAGGCAGTCTAGCTCCAGAGCCTACAGCCCTTACCAGCAGGCAAAGGGCTCTCTGCATCAGGAAATGAACAGAAGGCAGAGGATTCCCCCAGGAGAAAAGGGATCCAGCTCCAGTACCCTCACCGTGCCATCCAGAGTCATTGTTACCTGTCTGGCGGCCTGGAGCCGGGCCCCGAGAGCCTCCCCGCGCCCACCCCCTCTAGTACCGCATATGCCCAAGACCCCAAGAGCCAGAGCGAAGAGCTGTGTCGGGAAGAGAAAAATGGCTGTTTAAACAGGGCTGGAATCCTTTCTTCCGTCACTCAGCAGGAGCAGTCCTGGAAGCAGGGCCCCTCCATCTGGTGTCACGTCCCCGGACAGGTGACAGTATTTCCAGATCAGATTTGGGAGCCAATGGCTTCCGAGCATAGGCCCACAGCTCCCCCTGGTGTGCAGCCTGGGAATGGAGCTGGCTTCGGGAGCCTTCTCCCTCTGGGTAAGACAGAGAGGTCAAGGGCAATGGTGATTCTCTATAACGGGAGTCTGAGCTTGACGGTGCAAGACCCGCAGCGCCCAGACCAGCACCACCAGGTTAAAAAGGGACGTGAGGCCACCATAGCCCATGACCAAGATGTTGTGCACCCAGGAGTTCTGCACCCAGCATCTGCAGGTGAGGGGTGAAGTGCCAGGGTTGGCGTGGCTCCCCAGGCCGGGGAGTGGGGGGCAGGGAGGTAGGTGGGGAGACCCCAGTGTCTGGGCCTATGAACGGGCTCCTGAACCTCGTCCATACCCTCACACCTACCAGGGCCAATTCAAACCTACCCAATTATCATATGGCCAGGCCACGGGCCCAGCTGGCTCAGGTGGAGGGGAAAGAGGTTCTGCCATCCTATCCCCACGAAGAGAGGGGAGGCAGAGCAACACCCTGCGCTCTGGGCCTGGGGAAGCCATGGAGGTCGAGAAGCCTGCCTGGAGGCCTCAGTGGCCTCTGGTGCCCAGCAGCTGGCCTGCCAGCTTCTCTGGGGGAGGCCGGAGTCTGGGGCTGCAGGCGGCCAGAGAGGCCACGGCTTCTAGGCGAGGAGACCCAGCCTACTGCATCGTCTGGGAGGAGCTGAATGCCTCCATCTCCGCCTCCACCTCTGCCTCGGAGCGGCACCTCTGGGAGCAGAACCACAGGAAGAGGAAGAAACCTGTAAGCGAAAAACGAAATCAGTGGGAGACTGGAACGAGCGATGTGGGGCCTCACCAGAATCTAGGGACTTCCTCAGTGGGGCTGAGCTGGGCTTCCCTAAAGCCCAGGAGTGATTCTCAGAGTCCCTCACTGTTGCAAGCCAGGAGGGGCAGAGCACAGAAGCTGGACAACCAGTTGTCAGGAGGCCAAAGGACGCCTTTGTGCAAATTAGGAGGACATGCCCCTTCCTGTGGACAGAAGGAGCCCCAAACCAGCTTGGCGGGGAGCGAGGCGACGGGGGGGGGGGCTCGATTTCAGCCCCTGACCTGCCCCCTTGACCTGAAGCCTTGAGCAGTCAACATCTGACCGGCCGAACCCCACCCCCAGGGCTTCCTGCACGCCTCCCGTGGGCCCTACCGTAGAGCGAGTTGAAGGTGGTGAAGAGGAAGAGCTGGGGCAGCAGGAAGACGCCAAAGGAGAAGAAAGCCAAGGCCCAGGTGGTGCCTAGAAGCACGGTGAGGCCCAGCACGGTGAAGATGTCCCGGCAGGCCCGCGTGTTTGGCACCTTGTCCTGGGCCCGCAGCCGGTGCAAGACCCGCAGCGCCCAGACCAGCACCACCAGGTTAAAAAGGGACGTGAGGCCACCGTAGCCCATGACCAAGATGTTGTGCACCCAGGGGTTCCGCACCCAGCATCTGCAGGGGAGGGGTGAAGTGTCAGGGTTGGCGTGGCTCCCCAGGCCGGGGGGTGGGGGGGCAGGGAGGTGGGTGGGGAGACCCCGGTCTCTGGGCCTATGGACGGGCTCCTGAACCTGGTCCCGTCTCCCAGCCCAGACCCATTGTTTCTTGTCTGACCACACGTGTGGTGAAGTTCTGGGCCCGGCTTTCCAGCCAGGCCACCCTGGCCTGAAGCCCCCCATGTTCTCCTTTCCGGCCACACGGGGCTCTCTCATGCCTTTACCCACCTGAAAACTCTTCCTCTCCTCCCTTCTCCGTCCTGCCTCTCTCCCCTTCCATGGCCAGCCTAGCTGCCCACTTGTCCAATACTCTATCAGATCCCTGGCCCGGGGCCCTCTTTCCTGGAAACTTCTCCCCCACCGCAAGGTCAACACCATCTCACCACCATCTCTGTGCAATGGGCGCCCTACCCCAGGACCCCTCCCCACCTAGAAGGGGCCCACACTCTACGCTCCGAGCAGTGAACAGCTGTGGCACCTCGGGGCGGCTTGGTGGAGGGGTGCGGACCGAGGAGGAGAGTGAGCAGCAGGAAGATGCCACCAAGGGACGAGGAAAGAGCAGAGGCCTGGCAGTGGCCCCAGCCCTGCTCCTAGACCCTCCCCAAGGTCTTCACGCCCTTTGTGTCCCCAAGACACCCAGTCAGGCACCGGGTCATATGGTTGGTTTCCGCGGATGAGCCCATTTGCTCCTCATAAGGACCCTACGAGGCAGGTGCATAGTCATTCCCGCCCTGCAGAGGAGGAAACTGAGGCTCGGGCTTAGGAGCACACACTAGTCAGAGGCAAGGGTGGGACTTGAAGCCCCACGCTCCGAGGCCAGAGCCTGTGCCCCTGTCACAGCCCCCTGCTTGGGCCCTCGCCGCGAGCTCCTGCCTCGGCAGCCACAAGGGGCCTTGAACATTATTTGGGGGATTTATCCAAGGGGCTGAGTGTGCTCATGGATCATTCCTTTTCACTGCTACGTAACCATCCGGCAGGCGTGGCTCTATCGTGATTTATTAACCGCTGTCCTGCCGGTGGGCATTGGAGTTCCTTTCCAGGGTTTGGTTAGTGCTGTCTGTGTTCAGGAACACGAATAGACGTCCTAAGGGCTTTTTAAATGCAGGAGAATAAAAGTCACAAAACCCTGGGGGAGAGGGAGAGGGAGGGAGACTCTGAGAAGTGGGTTCTTAGAGTGGGGTACTCCCTGACAGCCCAGCAACACTGTGCTTCCCGCCCCTGCCCAGTCCTCCAGCCCCTGGCACGCAGTATATAAAAACTACACAAAAAAAAAGAAAAAGAAAAAAAAAAAACTACATGGTTAAGGGAGCCCGAAGTCACACTTCCTCTGAGAAAGCAGCCCAACTCCCACAGTGAGAGGAACGAACCCCAACCCGCCTCGCTTCCTGGAGGCTGGGAGGGGCAGTGGGGGGGCCAGGCTCTGGAGCCAGCCTGCCTGTGGCCAAGTCCCAGCTCTGCCATGGACCACCTGGGTTTCCTTGGATGGGGTTCTTCAGCTGCCCGTGCCTCAGTTTCCCTAACCGTAAACAGAGGCTGACAATAGGACCTCCTCCTCGCTGCGAGGTTTAAACAGAAGATGGGTCTACAGGGGTTCGTTCAGCTATTCTCCCTATGTTGGCCATGAGAACCTTCGTAACAAGAAAAAGATAAATGTCAGGGCACAGGAAGAGGCAGCCGAGTCTGTCGTGCAGACCCCCCAGGCCGCCCGACACACACACACACACACACACACACACGCACGCACACACACCCCGAGCCCTGTCCCTGGGATGTCCCAGCCCCCGCAGCACTCTCTCTGACTAGGAGGGTCTGAGGGCTGGCAGTGCTATGCCAACCACAGGTCAGGAGCAGCAGAAGCCTGAGCGAGCACAGCAAGGTTCAGGGAAGGGAGGGCAGAGTCAGGCACAGGCTGAGCTCCCTGCGCAGGGTCGGAGAGCAGGAGGGGGCGCTGGGCCGACCGCTGTGCTCTGCCAGGAGGCAGAGGTGCTGCTGCCCTGGCCTTGGAGGCTCATGAGCAGGCACCAGAGTTCATGCCGGGGCTCCCGAGACGTAGGCAGCCTAGAACAAGAGCCTGCCTTTGCAGGGGATCCAGCAGAAGGGGTATGGCAAAGCCCCCTGGAAATCACCCCTTCTCTGAGCCATGGCCCCCTCCTTGCCCCACAGCCAGGGCCCTGCCTACAAGGACACCCTGTTCAGAGCCCCTGGGCCCTTCTGCCAGAGCCAGGGAGCCTGCCACAGCCCTGAGAGCACTCACATGGACATGTTCTGGAAGCCTGTGCCATTTCCCTGGCTGTCGGAGAGTGGAATGGCATGGGGTCCATACACTGAGTTCTTGACAGCAAGAAGGAACAGTACCAGGAGGGCCGGGACTCCTGAGAGGTGAGACAGAGGCTCAGCACATGTCAGGGGACCCCGAAAAGGGCTGGTCATGCTAAAACAGAATTCCACTGAGCAAGCAGGGAGGGGAAGGGACTGTTCAGAGCCCCCAGCCTCTGCCATACGGTCCAGCTTCAGAGCAGTTAGCCTGGAGGTCTTAGAAGAGGCTGCTCTCCGAGGTGGTGTTAGTGAGGGCTCTAGGGTGGGATGGTAGTGGCAGTGGTGGTGGTGCCAGAGACAGTGGGGAAGATGAGGATGAGGGTGGTGGTGACAATGGAGGCGGTGGTGAAGGTGATGGTGGAGTCAGAGGTAGAAGCAGTAGTGGTGGTGTTGCTGGTGGTGTTGGAGGTAGACATGGTAGTGATAATGGCAGAAGTGATGGTGGTGTTGGAGGTGGTAGTGATGGTGGAAGTGTTGGAAGTGA